GGGTGCGCATTATTTTCACTATTCTACAATAAATGAACACACATACTGAAGCTTGGCAGATTTCACCTGTATCATGGTTTAGAATCACATTCCAGAGACATGGTTGAGTTCCAAAGACAATTCCAATTTATCATTACCACATTTTTAGTCACCCATTTATACAAAATAGTGTTCTATATATCAATTGTAGAGCGATATAGAAACACCACTGTTAAAATATTGCTTAATACATCAATTGTAGAGCTATATAGAAATATCACTGTTAAAATAGTGCTCAATACACCAATTGAAGGGCAATATAGAAATACCACTGTTAAAATAGTGCTCAATACATCAATTGTAGAGCAATAAAGAAACACCACTGTTAAAATAGTGCTCAATACATCAATTGTAGAGCGATATCGAAAAACCACTGTTAAAATAGTGTTCAATACATCAATTGTTGGATTGTTGTCTGCTAGGACAGTGGAATAGCCCAGTTAGTTGCCAGTGGTATTGTTGTCTGCTAGGACAGTGGAATAGCCCAGTAAGTTGCCATTGGTATTGTTGTCTGCTAGGACAGTGGAATAGCCCAATAAGTTGCCATTGGTATTGTTGTCTGCTAGGACAGTGGAATAGCCCAGTAAGTTGCCATTGGTATTGTTGTCTGCTAGGACAGTGGAATAGCCCAGTTAGTTGCCATTGGTATTGTTGTCTGCTAGGACAGTGGAATAGCCCAGTAAATTGCCAGTGGTATTGTTGTCTGCTAGGACAGTGGAATAGCCCAGTAAATTGCCAGTGGTATTGTTGTCTGCTAGGACAGTGGAATAGCCCAGTTAGCAGTGAGTTGGATTGTTGTATGCTAGGACGGTGGAATAGCCCAGTTAGGAGTGAGTTGGATTGCTGTAATAGCTATGTTGGTAGTGAGTTGGATTTTTATCTGCAAGGACAGTCGCATAGCCAAAGTGGTAGCGATTTGGATTTTTGTCTGTCATCTGTGGCAAAAGTGGAATAGTTCACTCTGTGGCAAGTTTGATATGCTTCTAGATGATTAGGTGCCATGATTTTTCTTCAAGGCAAGAAAATTAAGATACCATAGTCAGTGCTTTCAGAAGTCAACCCAGTGTTGACCTTCATCTAACATTTGGTTTCACATCTGTTTGCAGAATATGCATCACTGGTTCTATCAAAACGAGACGATGATGAATCTCATATCGGAACGTGCATTGCCAAAAATAGACTTTACGCATTTAAACACAAACACGTACTGTACACGTTAATTGTCCAATAGAGAGTTCTAAGCAAGGAATATCATAAAGTTGTTACAGCTATCGGCATCAAACCAGTTCTCTCCCCTAGTAATGGCTGTACTTTCGCTTTACATAATGGACAGGTATTTTTTCGATGTAACCACTGGCATAAACATCTGAAATGAGAATGTCTTACAATTTGCTGATACCTACCTTATCTTTAAAAGAGATTGTTAAGAGAGTTTTAAAGAGATTCTCTTAAGGGGAAATTGAGATCAAATTTCACAGGTCCTTGAAAAATGTCCGGCTGACAAAAAAATAAATAAACATGCAATTCCATTAAAAATAAGCATTTGATGAGATAGTTATCACAAAAGCCCTTAGAATATTCAATTGCATGGTAAAGCATTTCTATAATTGCAGGAACCAAGATATAAACATCTCATAGAAAATTGGAATGTTGGAAATATATTAAATTTAATATTTTAGATTAATTATCATGAATTAAAGTTTCTAATGTTATTTGCTACTAATTTTTGTTGACGGATAATTGGCCCTTTAAAAAACTCCTTTACATCTTTGATACTATTCAGCATCATAATGGACATTACAATCAAATAATCTTTCTTACTTAAAGAGATTTAGGTCTTTCAAAATGTAAATAGTCCTCAGAAGTACTAGAAATGTACAAAAATCGCATAAATTCCTTCATATAATTCTGGACACACATGGATTTGAAGACACAAATTTTGACAGTAAGCTGCAAACACTATAACTGATTAGCTTAGCTAAATATTCCAGTTTTTGAGGCGAACATGTCTCTTTAATCTACTTACTTCTGATGAAAACCATGTTTACACGGACAGATGGCTAATTTCTCATTGGATTTAAAATCTTCTAAACACACTGGACAGGACTGAAAAAAACAAAACAGAATCAAATCTTTTGACATCAGAGCATCAGGGTATATCAAATAGTTACCATCAATATTATATTTATCCAGGTTGGATTTTGTGTTCCAGACATCTATTTGAATATTTCACATTTTAAGTTGACGAAAAAAGTTGACAAACAAAAGCTGACTAATAAGAGTTGAGAAACAAGTGTTTGACAAACAAG